ATACTACGGTAGTTTGGGCATGTCCTTAGGCGACAATCGTCGGATGCAGTTAGGAGGGTAGAGTTGATTACAACCAACGGTGCCAGAAGGAGAGGACGACCAAAGAGGAAGTGGGTATACTGCTTGAGATCTGATTTGAAGGATTTAGCCCTTACCAATAACACGACCTCTGATAGGAAAGTATGGAGACTTAAGACCAGGGTAGTCGAGTAGTGTGGGTCACAACCATAGGGTGTAGCATCTCTGTCTTCTTTTTATTTCCTTTGTAGTTATTTCCATTACTTCTACTTTTTATACGGTTTTGTCATTTGAATTTATGAAGGCTTAGAACTAGGATAGTAGAGTAGTGTTGCCTTAGTTTAGATTTTAACACATTTGACTTTATACCTTCTCGTAGCTTGCTATCGCTGACTACTGTGTATCCCTCTCTTCATGTTTCCTCTTTTTAAATTTAGTCAGGACTTACGTTTCTGTCTATATGCAGAGATTTTTTACGCAGAGATTTATTTGCAGGGATTACTTCCCATTACAGATGCTCATATGAAGACTGCATATGAAGTCTGTTCAACTATGTATTTATTTATTTAGTTATTTATACATCACACATTTTATCTATATTTTTACTTTTCTGACTGCCAGAGGTCTTCCACAGAAGCTGCTCTCTAACTGGCGTTGGAAGCAGCCTACTACCCTACCTCCCCCTTACCCCATTACATATGGGAATAGGGTTTTATTGTTGTTGTATTAGCAAACATAGCATAATCACTTCAGGAACTAATATGAATTAATTTATATTGTTTGTCCTTATAGTTTTATTTTTTAAAATTTATGAAAGTGTATTTTTTAAAATACATTTTATGTAAATTTGATGAAGGTGTGTCTCATGAGACATGTTTACTGATATGACGTGTTTATGAAAGTAAATTATAAATTACATTCTAGAATGTATTAAAATCAAATATAATTGTTCAATAAAATTATAAGAACACAATAGAAATTTTTGTTGAATTAAGAAATAATTTAATAAAAATAAATTTAAATATCAAAATTAAGATTTTATCTATTGAAGTATTTTATTTTAACAAACAAGTTTCCTACTCTCCTGCGATGGAGAAAGTGTCCTCGTTTCAGACATATCAATGTCTACTGGTAGAAGTGAACTAGAGCGAGAATTTGCTCTCCCTTCTCTCTAGAATTCTCTTTGGAGTTGGGTCCTCAATTAGTCTTAGCGGTTTCTTCCATGTCTTTCCATGGATTCCTGGTTGTCGAGATCCATTTATGGATCTCAAAGCAGTTATTTTTTCACAAAGTCTGATTGTTTTCTTATCAAGCTCCTAGATTGTTAGGATTGATTCGTTGTTTAGTTGTCAAAAGTTCTTCTCGGTGTTCTTTATCAGTGGAGAAAGATGAAGGTAAGAGTTGTCTTTATTATCATTATAGTTCCTTACTCGTGATTTATGGTTTGCAGGATCTTCTTAAGGGTCGCAGGCGATGGAATGAATTAGAGAGAGGATTTGTAGCTTATGGGAACACTCGAAAGTGGTTTGTTGGGAATGGGTTCTTTATGGGAGGAGAGAAGGACTGGAAGAAGGAATGGGGAGGATTTCGAAGTATAACTGATCGGGGAAAATTGGCAACAGGTCAAGGAGTTAGATGGAGTTGTGAGTCGGAAAAATTAGTAGGTTCCGATAAGGGAAAAGAAGAAGATGATCGGATCTGGTTTACCAAAAGTAGAAGGGGAAAGATTGAAAAGATTAGAGGTTGTTACACATTTGTAGCTGCTGATATACGGACTGACAAGTGGTTAGGGGTTTGGTTTGTTATAGTAAAACTGCCCATTAAGGGAGAAAGCGTGTGTTGTAGTGATTTTGGGGTGAAGTATTTTAGAGGGAATTATCAAACAACGAAAATTGGGGGGATTTTTTATTGAAGAGATAAGTCAAGTGCTCATTATTTATATGATATTAGGTTGCTTTCGGGGATTTTATTTGAAGTATGTTAAATGGAAGTATCCAAGGATATTTAAGTATGATGTGTGGTCTTGTCAAGTGGGAGATCAATTTATTTATTTGTTTCGATGGCAGTAGATTGTATAGTAGGATGTATTTTTCAATACAGTATGGGGCTGGTCTACTCGATGTACTGCCCGGTGCAGTCAGTAGGTGAGATCGGTTGGGACCAAGCGTGGGGCGGAAGACTTAAGTCCCGTCAGGCAGAGCAGGTAGGCAGTATTTGCGGTCACTGTACGGACAAGTTCTGTGGTCACTGTACGAACATGTTTATACGATAGAAAATCTATGAGGGATTATTTCTTTTCGGGGAAATGGAATATTCAAATAATTTTATCTTTATTGGTATTTTGAAGAGATATCTTATTGTAAAGAATTTATTAAGGGTTGGCAGAGGGTGTAAGTGGGGAAAGTCACATCGGAAATCACCTAGTCAAGTCGGTGGGATTGCTAGCCGGGATTAGGATAGGAGCCTAAGGGATGATAAGGTCGATCTTATCTCACATAATCTCAAAAGAAAGTTCTCTACCTTTGTCTTTGTTTTTAGGAGTAACTCCTTTGAAGTGATGACTAACAAAAAAGGGTCTAAGAGTGGTATTTTGCTTTCTTCTTCATTTGATCATTCTACTAGTACAATGTCAGAAGAGGTTGCGGATCTTATGAAGCATCTAAGATTCACTGAGGAGGAGTCAGAGGATATCTCTCCACCAAGGGTCATTACTGAAGATGATGTGATGAAAATGGATAAGTGGATCATTGCAAAGATTATTGGCTACAAGAGAGTGGATAGCGAGGTGGTGTTGCGGGTCTTTTGCTCTATTTGGGGTCATGCTAGACTCGTGGATTCAAGAATTTTGAAAGACAATATGTTCCTGTTTAAGTTCAAAACGTTATCGGATAAGCAAACGATTTTGAAACGTATCCCATGGAGTTTTGAAGGAACTCTTTTGGCAATAGCACACTTTGACCCTACACTAAGTCTTGAAGAATTTGACTTTAAGCCTCTAGCTGTGTGGGTGAGAATTTATGAGCTCCCTTTGGAGCTTATGCGGATTGAGACAACCAAAAAGATTGGTAATAGAATTGGGAAGACCATTGCTATTGATACAAGGTCCGGAGGAGGGAGAATGTGTGACTACCTTCGGGTTAGAGTGGAGATTGATTGCACCAAGCCATTGCGCAGATGTGCCAAGATGAGGCAGCTCGCGAATGGGCAACCGAGGAAGTGTTTGCTCAAATACGAACGCCTACCCTCCTTTTGTCATAAGTGTGGTATAATTGGCCACGTGCTTACTGAATGTCCGGGTTTCTCAGAATAAATGCAGCAACCTCTCCAGTTTGGGGAATGGCTCAGAGTGTCACCTAATAAGCGGATAGAAGAGAGTAGTAGTAAAAGAAGGGAATGGATTATTTATGTTGAATGTGAGAATAATGGTCAATCGATGATAAGTTCGGCGAACAACCCGCTTACAGAACGGGTTGCAAGGACTCCCCAAGGTAGACTGTGGATATTGGGAAGAGATCTCATGCTCTCATCAAACTCTAATCAAGAGGATGATATTGATCCGTCTGACCCTACCTCGAACTTTTCTGGAGTTTTTCCTCGGTCGTGTTCGTGATATAGTGGAGGAGTAACAGCCTGACCGAGAATCGAGTGTGAGGGTCGAGGTTGGTTTTTTGAGTTCGGGGAAGAGAAAGATCGGGGAGTCGAGTAAAGGAAAGCGGAGGGCAAAACGAGTGAATCGTCAGGTGGTGCATATATCTGACTCTACCTTGAATTCTAAAGTTGGTACTAGTGTGGAGGAGGACCCAAGCGAGTTACCGGAGGAACGTATCAGTGATGTTATGTTGACGGCGGTGGCTGAGGTTCAGCCCCGCCAGTCGCCGTGACGATCTTGAACTAGAACTGTCGAGAGCTTGGGAACCCTACGACAGTTCGAGTTCTTAGGAGATTGATCTCCGAAACGGACCCAATGTTGGTTTTTGTTTCTAAAACAAAGTTACAGAAAAATAAGGCGGAGGCTATTCGTATTGCTACAAAGATGTTCGGATGTTTCTCAGTTGAAAGAGCGGATGAATGTGTGGGTCTAATGATGCTTTGGAAGGAATGTATCAAGGTTTCTCTCCAGAGCTTTTCTAATCTTCATATTGATGTGGAAATCCTTTGGAAAGAGCAGAGATTCCATTTTACGGGATTTTATGGTCGTAGTGCGTGGTCGGACAAGAAGCATAATTGGGAGATGGTTTCTCATTTGGCATCTACTGCCTCACTCCCTTGGTGTTTGGGATGTCATTTTAATGAAATTATACATCCGGATGAAAAGAGAGGAAGTCGGAAACCGGTGAGGGTGCATATGGAGTAGTTTCAACAATGTCTTCGTGGAGCGGATCTGTGGGACATTCGGCCTAGGATTTGATGGTTTACTTGGGCTAGTGGTACCCGAGCCAAGTCTTTTGTGTGTGAAAGACTAGATAGATTTGTGGCGAAAAATGACTGGAGGCTCTTGTTCCCGGAGTGTTCCGTGGTTACGATTTCGACGGCTATGTCTGACCATTCTGCGATTTCTCTGAGTTTGGAGGGTCATTTCCCGAGTTGTTCCACTATAAGAGACTATTTTAAGTTTGATGCGTGTTGGGCTAATGAAGATCAATGTCGGTAAATTGTCAAACATGTTTGGGAGAACACCGATGACTCTTTCTCGATTAAAGTGGGGAACTTAGGGGATATGCTTGGTACTTGGCAATGGGCGAGAAGAGGTCAAGCGAAGAGGGATGATAGATGCATTAGAAGCCACATTCTTTGGATTAATTCGGGTCCAGTATCAGACGAGTCATGCGAGCAACGTAGGAAAGCGTTGGTTGAGCTGAAGGACATCATGAATAAGGATGAGAAGTTTTGGTTTCAAAGATCTCGTGTTACGTGGATTAAAGATGGGGATCGTAATTCTACTTTCTTCCATACTAGAGCAAATGGGCGTCGCAAAAAGAATTGGATTGAGGGGGTGGAGAGTGAAAAAAGAATTGGATTGAGGGGGTGGAGAGTGAAGGGGGAATTTGGTGTGACAAACTGGAGGATATATTTTGTGTTGCAACAAGCTACTTTTCCTCTCTCTTTCGATCTTTCGAAGCGGCACCTGACGAGGAGATCCTTCAAGCCATTGCTCAATGTATCTCGCCTAGTGATATTGAGATGCTTTGCCGGAACTTCACCGCTGAGGATGTTATCATTGCCTTCTCACAAGTTAACCCTTCAAAATCCCCAGGTTTTGATGGCCTTTCTAGTTAACTTTTTCGCTCTTTTTGGGATATTATTGGAACTGATTTTGTAGAACTTTGTTTAAGTCTGTTGAATGGTTTGTCTGACTTTTATTTTGTTAATCGTACTGTTATCGTGTTAGTTCTCAAAGTTACCAGTCCTAAATTAATGAAGAACTTTAGACCGATTAGCCTTTGCACGGACATTTATAAGGTTGTGTCCAAAGCTATTGTTAATCGCTTAAAGCCTTTGATGCATGCTTGTATTGCCGAAAACCAATGTGCCTTTGTCCCAGGTAGACGTATCTCGGATAATTTCTTAGTGGCTCATGAGCTTATTCATTATCTAATAAGGGAGCGACCATTAAGTTAGATATGGAGAAATCATATGATAGAGTTAAATGGGATTTTCTTTTTGGATGTTATGCTTCGGATGGGTTTTAATAATTCCTTTTTTAATCTTATTCGAAAGTGTATTTTCATTGTTTCTTTTCAAGTACGTATTAATGGGGGTTTTATCTGACTCTTTCATTCCTCAAATGGGACTCCGTCAAGGAGATCCTTTATCTCTATATTTGTTTCTGTTTTGCGCTCAGGGACTCTCCGAGTTACTTCTGAAGGCACAAAAAATGAATGAGATCAAGGGCATTAGAGCTAGTTTGAGAGGGCCGAGAATCTCTCATTTGCTGTATGCAGATGATAGTATTTTGTTTATTAAAAATTCTATTGGGGAGTTGCACAGAGTTAAGAGCATTCTGAATCAGTACGAAAAGGCCTCAGGTCAGAAGGTGAATTTTGAAAAGTAAAGCATCTATTTCATCCTTAATACTCCCGAGGCAGATCGATCGAGCTTTTTGAGTGTTTTAGGGGTTATTGAGGCCGTGGATCCAGGGAACGACCTCGGCTTACCGCTTGTTGTTGAAAAAGGTAAGCGAGTGGCTTTTAACTTCATCAAAGACAAGACGGAGAAAAGGATTCAGGGGTGGACAAAACGACTCATCTCTTTCGGAGGGAGGGAGGTCTTCATCAAGTCGGTGGTTCAGGCCCTTCCAGTGTATGCTATGTCCTGTTACCTGCTTCCGGAAGGTGTTATTGAAGATATAAAGTCTCAAGCAAGGTCCTATTGGTGGTCAGGCAAGCAGAATTCTAGATGATGGCCGATGGTTGTATGGGACAAGGTTTGTCGGTCAAAAAAACTAGGAGGTATCGACTTCAGGGATCTTAGCTTGTTTAATATTGCACTGCTTGGAAATCAGATTTGGAGACTCATACAAGATGATAATCTTAAGGTCCTTAAAGCTAAGTACTTCCCAAAGAGGCTCTTAAGGACGGTTTTTTCTAGAGGGTGGGGTTAATAGTAGGGCTCGTATGTTTGAGGACAAGTGGGGGGATTATAGCCCCATTTGTTGGAAGGAAAGATATTTAGATCGGACTGATCATCCAGTTAGAGTGGCGGAGTTTATGATTCCTGTGAGTGCAAGGTGGGATGAGCCAAAAGTGAACAGGGTGCTTCTTAGGGAGGATGCTTCCCAAGTCCTGAATACCTTGATTGCGCCAGTCCAGAGTGATATGATATTGTGGAGCCATCATAGTTCAGGATTTTACTCTGCTAAATCGGGTTACAATTGGCTTAAAATTCAGAGTTGTCCCACCTTGATTGTGGAAGGTATTTGGAATGTTGTGGCTAAGGCGAATGTTCTTCCAAAAATTAGGATTTTCGGTTGGCGCCTGTGCCATGAAGCTCTTCCTGCGGGGTCAAAGTTGAAACAAGCTAACCTCGGAGATGGTATCTGCCCGCTTTGTAATCAAGAGCTGGAATCGGTGTTGCATGCGATTAAAGACTGCCCTATTTCGAAGATGGTTCTCTCGATGTCCGGGCTTCCCCAAGAGGTTGTTGATTGGAATGGGAGTTCTTGTCTCCTTTAGCTATCGTATGTTCAATCTAAGTTAAGTAGTGAAGGATTTGATCTGTTCCTTGCCTTACTTTGGAATATTTAGAACCGGCGTAACAATTTGGTGCATAATGGGAACTTACAATCGGATAGAGATATCATTTTGAACTCTTCGAATCTGATTGAGGAGTTTAAGCAGGCTTCGAATTCCTTCGGTGTCTCAACTGTTGATCATCAACCCCATAGGAACTGTAAATGGTACAAACCAAATCAGGATGAGGTTAAGATTAATGTGGATGGGGCGTTCTGCAAGGATGCTCGGGTTGCGACAATTGGCGTTGTGGCGAGGGATATGCATGGTATGGTAATCGGAGGGATGGCAAAAAAAATCAATCATTCGTTTACAGTCGAGTCTACGGAAGCAACAGCTTTCTCTCAAGGTATTCGCTTTGCGCATGAGAATGGGTGGAACAATGTTATTATTAAAGGCGATGCCATATCGATTATGTACAGGTTGTCGAACAGGAGCTCTAGAAAGACCCATGACATTTCTATAGTTGGATTGTTACTCAATGAGGCAAGATTAAGTTTAGTTGATCATCATTCTTTTAAAGTTCATTATGTTTGTAGGGATGCGAATAGAGTTGCTCACTCCTTAATTCAATAGGCCTTATCGAACCTTAATCCAGTCTAATTTTTTCTGGATGAACCTGAGTGTATCAAACAACTTGTAATTGACGATGATATTAGAATGTAAGAAGTTATTCCTTCAAGAAAAAAAAGTTTCCTACTCTCCTTTTCTTTCTCTTTGTATACATTTAAAGCAACATTGGTTTCTCTTGTTCCTTTCTGAGCTTCGTGTTTCTCCGGTAAGTTGTCTATAAGCTTAATCAACTCTTTTGATTTCATATTTCTTGATATTTCCTTCTTCATGCTGCTGTTATCGGATTAAAGTCGGAAATTGAACGACGAAAACACCCTTGCAAGTTTCCAGATTATTTTGAGTTGCTCTTAAATTTGTTCGAGCTCGATCCTTTACTGATGATTAAAATTTAATGCTGTTTGGTTTGTTGGAATGAGGTCGGGAATTAGAAAACTAAAGGACCTTGAAATTTTCCCGATTCTTTTTGTTAGTTTGACTGTAGTGAAGCTACGTCCTTGATTTTTGAGCCCGGGTTTTTTATTGCACATGGTTTTCATTTTTTTTGGGTGGAATTTGAATTTCTGCCCTTAGTATTTAGAAAAAAAATTAGTGATTCTACTGAGGTTAAGCCATGTGACAAGATTTGAGAAGAGTGTTTAACCTGGTTGATTGTAATAATTGATGTTACAGCTGAATGTAGGCGTTTTAATATGAGTGGGATAATCAAGTTAATGCTATTATTACTGGAACTCCATGAACTGCTTTTCTTGAGTTACAAATATTATTATATTTTATATTTGTTTATTTTTAATTGACTGGAGTCCATTTTTGGTTCATAGATTATTGTAAACTTCAACATTAGAAAAAAAAAGAGGAGTTTATTGACAGATGAGATGTACTTTTGTAATTCAATGTTGAAATTATTGTGTTAAGGGTAAAAGTGTTTTGTAATATTGCAGGTAATCGTATATGATGGGTGGAAGTGCAATTGATGATGATTGGAGTTCACCTCACCTTCAAATGGTAATAGGACTGTGGTTTAGGGGTTACTAGTACTTGTGAATTACAGAAAACAATGCTCAAAGATGGGCAAATTTTGAATGTTATTGATACTCCTGGTACAGTGTCTTGTGTCGTTGTTCCTATTATTTTTATGGTTATATCATTAACTGGGTCATGGAAAATGTTATTCTTTCCTAGGCTATCAATGCATTAACTATTAGGACTAATTTACCATATCATTGCAGGGTTGTTTGATTTCTCAGCTGGATCTGAATTCATTGGAAAAGAAATTGTCAAATGTATTGATCTTGCCAAGGATGGAATCCATGCAGTTCTTGTTTTCTCGGTTAGGACCGGTTTTTCACAAGAAGAGGAAGCTGCATTGCACAGTTTGCAGACTTTGTTCGGAAGCAAAATTGTTAACTACATGATTGTTGTGTTTACTGGTGGGATGAGCTGGAAGAAAATGAGGAAACATTGGAGGATTATTGGGCCGTGAGTGTCCGCTGCCATTAAAGGTTTCTTCCTAAACTAAATGCAACATGAAGTTTTATTTTTGTCTGACTTTATTGTGATCTGTTCGCTTCTCTGTTGAGGTCTGAAGGTTACTATCCTGATGAAGTGATGGCTATAAAGAAAAAATGTGTCCTAATAGCCTATATATCATCTTTTTCATGAATTTGATTTAGATACGGTTAGATGATTATTTATATTATGTATCATCAATGCCTGTTGGGATTAGTGATCAAATTATTGGTGCTTGTGTTGGATGGCATAAACTTTATGATCAGTTCCTTTTATCTTTGTTCAAGGGCTGCTAGATCCATGGGTGGTTTGATTTAAGAAAATCTTGAGTTCTGGTGTAATCTCACTATAAGCATTTATGTTCTTTCTTCCTTTTTTTTCTATACAAAATCTATAAGTTTTGTTATTTTTGTCTCTGCTTTCTATTTAAAGTTTATTTGGACATTTTTTTTGTGGACTCTATTTCCTTGAGCATCAAGATAATGCTTAAAAAATCGATCAATGTAACTATGATCAGTATTCTCCGCTCTGAAATTGGAGGAGAATGGAGTGGCATAGAATTTTAGGCTTTGGGTGAAGCATATATCTCTTTCTTGCCAGTAAAGAAGCAATTTGGTTGAAGATGCTATTGGAGGAGCTTGGGCACAATCAAGAGTATGTCTCTCTGTTTGTGACAGTCAAAGCG